GGGGGGGGGGTGGGGGGGGGGGGGTTGCCTTCAATTTATTTGAAAGGCACAAAACTGAAAAGTGTAGGGAGCTCTCTCTTTTTGTTATGCCTTCACTTAAAAACGAGGGCTGCTAATGACGTGTTTTTTTTCAACTGTTTATTATGGTCAGAATGTCTGGATTAATTTATGTACATTGCAATTAATTCTCTCTTTAGTCTGATCAAAGGTAAACCATCAACAAGGCCTAACCTTAATTTTTTTCAAGAGCCACTTACAGTAATCAAGAGGATAGAACATGTTTTTCCGCTTTTCAAACAATTCTTTAGAAAAGTTTGAAAACACGGAGAACACCTGGGAGTCTTTAATGAGGTCTAGACATCAATCTTTGTTGGAAACATTTCTACTGTTCGGTGACTTCAGTCCCTCATCTCTCCTATTTAGTCTACAGTTCAATTCCTCTTCTCTCTCGTAGCAACTCATCTCCTCTCTCTCAACTCCTCTCTATTCCCTCTCGCAACTCTCCTTCTCTGCCTGAGCTTCCTTGTGAAGTTTTACTCTTTGAATCCAGTAGATATAGATCTATTATATCTATTTAGAAATAGTTCATCACTATGTTTATATCTATTAGATCTATATCTACTTAGATATCTCAAACTGGTATATATACACACACACAAACTGTTTGAGATCTCTCTCGCACACATCGTAAAAGTTGGAGCAAAGACGGATTGGATGCATTGGATTTTATGTGTTGTATAGATTGAGATTGAAAAAGATAGAGAGAGACGAGAAAGATAGAGAGAGATGAAAATGGAGATGAAAATTGGGGGTTTGTGGATTGTTGTCCTAAAAAGTTTTTGCTTTTTTGTTTTTTTAAAATTATTTTTAAAAATATATAAAGCAAACAGGTTTTGTAATATAAAAATATAAAAACACACTTTCTTAAAACTCTTCTCAATAACTGTTTTCAGATATTATTTTTTGAGACGCAAACTAAACAGATTCAATTTTTGACGACCCGTGTATTAATTAATCATTGACATGCTAATTAGGTCATCGATTATGATTCTATATAATTAAAGTTTATATATAATAATAATAATTTTTTTTTTTATGAATAAATGGACTCCAAATATAGACTCCTCGCATGAAGACGAGTCAAATGACTATAACTTATATAGTAATCCTATAATAAAATAAATATATTCATATCTATATATATAGAGATATTTATAAAGATACGATTCTAGATTTTTTTTTCACGATTTGAAAAACGTGCAAAAAGAGAAAAGAAAGAAAAAAAAAAAAAAGAGGACATGGTCAAGGAATGGACGACTGTCCATGAGAAGAGAGAAAAAGAGGAAGAAAGGAAGGGAGAAAGAGAGGAAAGAGGAAAAAGTGGTCAAAAATTTTGTTGACATAAGAGTTTGCGGTTGAGATCAAAATNAAGGACGTCTAATAAAGGTCTAATCTGCCTAAGTTTGAGCTCAGCCCTTGCCCAAGCTAGCTTGACCAAGAGCTGGGGGGCAACTAATGATACCGTGGGAAAACTTCTAAGTATGAGCTCAAGCAAAGAGGTCAGACAGGTCACGTAGAGCTCAGAGGGTCAGGGCTAGAGCTTCCCCCAGGCAAGACAATAGTGGAAAAGTAGAGAGGACAGTTGGATATTAGCAGAAAACCTACAGGCGACAAAAAATCGTATCCAAAGCAAATAACCCCAAAACAGCCAAGATCCTCCCCCAAAAATCAAGGAGGATCCCCCGAATAAATGGCATGGATTTTGGTGCAAATCCCACGGAACTAGGAGTTGCTCTATAAATATTGTATGATGCCTCCAGTAAAAGATATATATGTATAACCCTAGGAAGACCAGACCAGAGGTTGAATGAAAACCGCATTCCGCACTTCGGAAACAAAAGAAATAAGAAGCTCCATTGAAGAGTGGACTAGCCGAGCTCCTGTGCCAGTGAACTACTATAATATCACTGTGCAATCTCCCCCAATTCTCCAATAATTTCTACTTGATTCTCATGAGCCTTGTAGCTCAGCTCTAGGTCAGCGGGTGCCATTCACTCTCTCTGCTCGTCTACGCGAGTTTATATATATATATATATATACTGAAGTATTTTTGGATTTTTAGTCGATATGAGATTGAGTTTCCACACATAAAAACACTTTTTTTTTTATTAAAATATTCTAACACTGTCTTCTGGTCCTCTATGGCTCAGAGCATGACCAAGCGCCCAATGAAGGGAATGCTTACTGTATTGGCCCTGTTACCATTCTCAACTGGTCCTTTGTTCGAAATGACCAGCCAAGGTAATTAAAATATAGATTTTTCTTTTTCTGTTTTAAAAAAAGGAAGCTGAGACTGGAGATAATAAGTTTTACCCTTTTTATTAATAATACCAATAACAACAAATTTTTGACATGATGTTATCCGTGTTACCAGATTGCTTGGCTATCAAGGACGAAGTAGAGGATCTTGAGAAAGGTGGCATCAATGTCATCCAAATCAATGAGCCAGCTTTGAGAGAGGGCTTGCCTCTCAGAAAGGCTGAGCATGCTTTCTACTTGAACTGGGCTGTCCGCTCCTTCAGAATCACCAACGTCGGTGTTCAAGACACTACCCAGGTGCTGCCCTCTTCCCCGAAGTCTGCTCTAATTTACATGTTTTACTATACTTTTATGCTTTTTACATCCTCTTGTTATTGTTTTATTCTTTGGCAATATGCTCATCTATTAATATCTCACAGATCCACACCCACATCTGCTACTCCAACTTCAACGATATTATCCATTCCATCATTGACATGGATGCCGATGTGATCACCATTGAGAACTCACGATCTGATGAGAAACTCCTGTCAGTCTTCTGTGAGGGAGTGAAGTATGGTGCCGGTATTGGCCCTGGTGTGTATGATATTCACTTTCCTAGAATACCATCAACAGAGGATTGCTGACCGAATTAACAAGATGCTTGCTGTGCTTGAAGCCAACATTTTGTGGGTCAACCCCGACTGTGCCCTTAAGACTCACAAATACGCTGAAGTTAAACCAGCTCTCCAAAACATGGTTGTTGCTGCCAAGCTCCTCCACACCCAGCTTGCCAGTGCCAAGTGAGGCGTTTAAGAGAACTTCGAGGTTCAAGTTTCTTCAAAATTGTTGTTTCTTATCAAAGAGTGAAAAGAAAAAANTTCAAGAGCCACTTACAGTAATCAAGAGGATAGAACATGTTTTTCCGCTTTTCAAACAATTCTTTAGAAAAGTTTGAAAACACGGAGAACACCTGGGAGTCTTTAATGAGGTCTAGACATCAATCTTTGTTGGAAACATTTCTACTGTTCGGTGACTTCAGTCCCTCATCTCTCCTATTTAGTCTACAGTTCAATTCCTCTTCTCTCTCGTAGCAACTCATCTCCTCTCTCTCAACTCCTCTCTATTCCCTCTCGCAACTCTCCTTCTCTGCCTGAGCTTCCTTGTGAAGTTTTACTCTTTGAATCCAGTAGATATAGATCTATTATATCTATTTAGAAATAGTTCATCACTATGTTTATATCTATTAGATCTATATCTACTTAGATATCTCAAACTGGTATATATACACACACACAAACTGTTTGAGATCTCTCTCGCACACATCGTAAAAGTTGGAGCAAAGACGGATTGGATGCATTGGATTTTATGTGTTGTATAGATTGAGATTGAAAAAGATAGAGAGAGACGAGAAAGATAGAGAGAGATGAAAATGGAGATGAAAATTGGGGGTTTGTGGATTGTTGTCCTAAAAAGTTTTTGCTTTTTTGTTTTTTTAAAATTATTTTTAAAAATATATAAAGCAAACAGGTTTTGTAATATAAAAATATAAAAACACACTTTCTTAAAACTCTTCTCAATAACTGTTTTCAGATATTATTTTTTGAGACGCAAACTAAACAGATTCAATTTTTGACGACCCGTGTATTAATTAATCATTGACATGCTAATTAGGTCATCGATTATGATTCTATATAATTAAAGTTTATATATAATAATAATAATTTTTTTTTTTATGAATAAATGGACTCCAAATATAGACTCCTCGCATGAAGACGAGTCAAATGACTATAACTTATATAGTAATCCTATAATAAAATAAATATATTCATATCTATATATATAGAGATATTTATAAAGATACGATTCTAGATTTTTTTTTCACGATTTGAAAAACGTGCAAAAAGAGAAAAGAAAGAAAAAAAAAAAAAAGAGGACATGGTCAAGGAATGGACGACTGTCCATGAGAAGAGAGAAAAAGAGGAAGAAAGGAAGGGAGAAAGAGAGGAAAGAGGAAAAAGTGGTCAAAAATTTTGTTGACATAAGAGTTTGCGGTTGAGATCAAAATTTTGGGTAAGATTTTTTAGTTATTATTTAGTAAATTTTATATGTTCGAGTCGCTTAAAGTTGATTTTCATTAAACATTTTTGGATTAAATTTAAGTATCATTATCTTTCGTTAGTTATTCCAAAAATTATTTTAGGTTAACTAAGCCCTTATTACCTATTGTTATTCTAAAATATTATTTTAGTTATTTTGTCACAGTACACAGTATCCAATAGAAGTCAAGAAGGAGGTAATGTTTCTTTTATCTATTACTATCATTGATGCATTTTATGCACATTTGGGATTTTCATATCAAATCTATTTTTAATTATATAATGTAATATTATATTGTTATAATCATGGGGTCAAACTGGGGTTTTATAAATAAATCATTATCATGCACATATTCTATTTTTATCGAGACCCTAATTATCTCATGAAACCATGTTATATAATAAATGTTTATTTCATTATTAATATTTAATGTTTGATTTGCTGTGGTGTCTGACTACGATATGACTTTATTTTGTGTTTTGATGAAATTACTATGAATGCACATAATTGAGGGCAGAGGTTTAATAGATGCGTGATTCTTGTGAGAATTCACAGGATTTCTACTAGTTCTTGGATTCACCGGTTAGTAATATCGGTTGCCATGGTAGCCTGTATGACACCACATAATTTTCGGTATTGGTGTTTTCAGAAAAACAAGAAGGGCATTAGGTTCCTTAGGGTGCAAGACTCGAAAGTTTTCTCCAGAAGCGGTTCATGCGTGGACCAAAAAATTGACGGATTGATATGTGCTGAAATTTATTTATTTATTTAATTCATTACTTTGCCCTATTGCTGCATTTATTCATGATTTAATTATATTATGCATTGTTTTAAAATCTTGATAGTCATTGATAAACGTTATCCTACTGAGCTGGTGAGCTCATCCTTATTTAACATTTTTCAGATATATGAAGTCGAGCTGGAGGATAGGTTGAAAGGATGATAAATAGAGTCTGCTATTATTACTTCTCTTTATATTTTACCAAGAATAATTGAAATGATCTTGTGAGAATTATGTACTCGTACGCGAAATAAAATAATATAAGGAAAGTTATTGTAAGTTTGGTATGATTTTATTCTTTAATCACGTATGGGTTTTTTTTTTAAAGGAGAAAAAGAAAATCAGGGCGTGACAGAGTGGTATCAAAGCCTGGAATTAGATCTTAATTGGGAATTATATATATAGACTATATGGTGGGATTAATTTACTAATACCGAACATGTTTTACGGACATATTATTTTTTTTTATCAACATAACTAACTTTTTATGACTATGGGTATGACATATTGGGATGATCTTTACATTGCTCACAATAACATGGGCTCCAAGTCGGCTAGTGAATACCGGACTCGTAGAGTTAATATAGAGGCCTACAATTTAATAGTCCGCGAAATTCAAGATGTGTCCCAAAATTGGCCATTTATGCCATTCTCTAAACATAAAAAGTTAGTACATTACAGACTGACCTCGCAGCTAAGGGTGCTCCGCCAAGCACTAAGTATTGAATGGAATCCCAATATGTACCAGGAAATTCTGAATGGATTGCTAGTACAAGACATTCACTGGCCACCTGTGGGGGCTCATGAGGGGCAACCAATAGAATTTCCTAATCTGGACAATAATGAAGAATATGACCTACAACCTCACGACCCACAACCTCACAAACCCAACGTAGCCATTGTAGCCGTACCACCCAAAGAAAATCATCATGAAGATTCTGCTGGTTCTCCGAACTAATGTGTCTCCAGGGGGGAAGGACATGAAACTTCTTGGTCCCTAACTGTACAGTTGATTTTACTATTTTAAGAAATTTTGCCTGTAAATAGTAATAACTCTTAGAATGGTAGGAATATATGTATCACTACATAACTTAGAGGTGACTGTCCTAGACTTTTGTTCTTCATGTGAATAGCATGTAGGATAAGAAACGAAATGTATCTTAGTTACTAATTATGTGAAATTTGAGTTTTTTTCTTAACCTTTGGATGTGGTTATAGTTTTTTAATGCAGTCATAATATCATAAACTATGTATTATAGGATGGAGGGAAACACATCTCAAAACCAACCAGAGATGTCCATCAATGACCAGTCCTCTTCAGCACCGTAGGACACTATAAGTGGTATTTACCAGTGTCTGAGAGAATTGACCACTTTGACATGCCAACAGGTGGAAAATAACAACCATACTACGGTAATACAACCAACAATTCAGGAATAAGCAAATGTGGTTGAAACGCGAAGAATGATGATACTCAAGGAATTTCTACGACAACGTCCCCCTACCTTCTAGGGAAGTATAGAGCCACTTGATGCAGAGAAGTGGCTTCGCCAAGTGAGAAAAGTAATGGATGATATGGATATTACCCCAGAACTACGAGTTACCTTGGCCTCTTATCTTTTTGAGGGTGAAGCCGATCACTGGTGGGATACAATCAAAAGAATGAGGAACATAGACCAAATGACGTGGACCACATTTGAGAAAAGTGTTCAATGATAAATATTTTCCAGAGTCCGTAAGGGATAAAATGTTCTCTGACTTCCTAGAGTGGCAACAATGCAACCTGACAGTCATGCAATACGAATCCAAATTTGTTGAACTCTTTCGCTTTGCCATGAAATTAGTCTCCACTGATGTCAAGAAGGCCAAACAATTTGAACAAGGCCTTAAGCCTTCTATCCGAGGACGCCTTGTAGCACACTGACTGAGAAACTATAAGAAACTGGTGGAAAGGGCTATGTTGGTAGAAAGAGATCTGGAGGATACCCAGAATATCAAAAGTCATCAACAAGGCAGAGGAAGTCAGACAAGAAATGGTGGCAGTAGTAGTCACCAAAGAATGACCCCATATCGACAGCCAGGGCAAAATACCAATGAAAGCAGAAGTGCGAATCCGGGACAAAATTTTGGAAATTGGAACAGAGCATCCAATGAAACAAAACTGTGTTTTAAATGTGGGCAAACTGGACATTTTAAAAATCAGTGTCCCTTCACGTCCTCTCAAGGTTCGGCCAATCCAGGTTCTTATCAGCTTTTCAATCAACCTCGTTCACAACAACGTCCCTACCCTACTCAGACGACAGGACCGACAACCCAAGTTGGACCTTCGCAGTCGTTTCTAAATCAGGCACAACAGAAAAAGCTAGTAAGTAGAACAACAATTGTCGAAGGTCAACCTTGGATCTACGCAATGGCTACACCGGATAACGACACTGCTAATGAAGTAATTAAAGGTATGGTTCTTATTTATAATTCTTGGGCACGTATCTTATTTGATCCGGGGGCAACCCATTCTTTCATTCGTACTTCATATGTTGTTGCCTTAGGTTTAGAATTCAAACCTTTGGGTCGCACATTGTGTATAAACCTACCTACAGGAGATTTCTTGGAAACAGCTAGGGTATGTAGAAATTGCATAATCCGAATTAAGAAAAGCAAGTTGGTTGTGGACCTAGTTGCCCTAGAAATAGTTGGATACGACATAATTTTTGGAATGGACTTACTATCTTGCTATCATGCCATCATGGATTGCTATAGTAAGAAAATCAATTCCCGTATGTTGGGAGATGGAGAGTTTAAATTCATAGGCAAATATCACTATTCACATCCGTTCTCCACAAAGAACAAAAGTAGTTTGGAATTCCTTGCAAACTTAAATGGGGAAGAACTAGGTGAAATCACCGCTGATGTTATCTTGGTAGTGTGT